GATAGATAGATAGATAGATAGATAGATGATAGATAGATGATAGGTAGATGATAGATAGATAGATAGATAGATAGATGATAGATAGATAGATAGATGATAGATGATAGATAGATAGATGATAGATACATGATAGATAGATAGATGATAGATAGATAGATAGATGATAGATGATAGATAGATAGATGATAGATAGATGATAGGTAGATGATAGATGATAGATAGATGATAGATAGATGATAGATAGGACAGGGGACAGAAGGTAGCCACCTGCTGGTAGGTGATGGACAAGAGATACAAGGACAGGCAGAGAGGCAGGACTGAGGGTACCCGAGTACTGGGCGGGTGACCACCCTCGTGCAGCTCCTCGCCCTCCGCACGGCGCCCTGGCTGGCCGGCTCTCCCGGCTCCCTCACCTGCTGCCGGAGCCCCCGCCCCTGCTGTGACAACCAGACGCAGCGCAGGCGTCCACAGCTGTCCTGGCGGCCCCAGCACGGCTCTCACTCGAGGTCCACGGCTCTGCTTTTCCTTCTCGCTTCTTTTTAAAACAATCCTTTATTTCATTTTATTTACCATGATGTTGAATTTGCTATGGGGCGCATGTGCTGACCACAGGCTGAGAGACAGAGAGAGACAGTGAGAAAGCAAGCCAGGTCTGGGGCTTGAACCACAGTCTGCCATGTGGGAGTCCAGCGCCTTAATCACCAAGCCACCTGCTGGTCTCTGTCTTATTTATTTTAACTCAAAACTTGCCCTAAGCTTCCGACTGTCACGTTCTCGTGACAAAGCTGGGTCCTCAATGTTAGCATTATGTTAGAAAAAAAGAGGACCAGCAGTTAGCGTCATGGCTATGTCACTGGACTCCCATGTAATTGACCATGGTTCAAGTCCCAGACCCGGTGGCTTAAACTCATGCTGGGCGCATGTGCGTGCATGCCCAAGATCCCGAGAGGAGAATGGAGGAGAAGGGATTGCGCCGTGGCCACCCCCCCTGGGGGGTGATTTCTCACTTTCTGTCTCTATGTCTCTCTCTGTCTGTCTGGCAAGTGCACGCGCCCTATAGCAAAAACCTCTTCAAAAAAACCAAACAAACAAACAAACAAACAAAAACCAAAAGCAAGTGCCTCCCTCTTATTCTCATGCTAATCGTCATCATTAGACCTGCGAATTATTTCCAGAAGGGAGGACAAGGACACTCACCTGGTGTGGGGTACCTGCTGTTCTTATGGTCTCTCCGGGCGGCCAGCCACACTCTCCTGACATTGTCCCGAAGATCAGTTCTTCCTTGCTCCCGTCTGTGTGCTGGAGGGTGTGTGTGCTCTCCAGGAGGAGAGAGACACAGAGACAGAGAACACCCCTCCCGGTGGAATGGCCACACCACAATCCCT